TTTGTTCCTGACACACCAATAGAGAGCAGAGCAAGGCTGTCCCTCCCAAAGCAACTTGTTCTCCGCCCATCCATTGTGGGGACAGAAGTTGGTAAGAATTTTGGAAGAGACCACATAATCCCATCAAGTCTCCTTTCCTTATTGGGTGGAGTTGTAAGTTTGTGTGTAATTAGTGATTAGTTGATTTAAAAGTCAGTGGCTTAAAATGTGTACTGTTAGGGAATAGTTGACTTCCCTGATTGTGAGGATAATAAAGCCTGTGGTGCAGAGCCTCTCCTGAGAGTCAGAATTGAATAGAAGCACAAATCCTGCCTGAGTCTTTGGAGACCTGTTCTCAGTTCTTACATCCACTCAACAACTGGCATGCTATCATGCTCTTTGAAACTTGTTTTCTATTAAAACGTGGAAAATTAACTTTTGATAATTGTGTGGTGTGGAAGATAAGCAGATTTTTTAGAAAATATAATTGTATAACACCCTTTAGGAAGGAGTCTAGATGACCAGGGCATTATTTACCCGTATCTGAATTACACAGCTTCCAAGTTCCTGTGCCAACCCTTTGAAAATATCAAATTGGGTTTATTATTTATCAGCCTAAGCTCAGGCATGAATCTTGAAAGCACTAAACAACTTTGATAATAATCATACAATACATTAAGCATAAGAGATTTATATAAACTTATTTTATATAAATTGCTTTTTTTGGTGTTTTCTGGTCTCTTGCTAAGATATGGAGGAATGTAGGTTTTGTGTGTTTACAGCAGGCATTTGATTTTGCTTTTTCTGCATTTCAGTTTAAGTACATGTGTGCGCGTGCACGCGCGGGCTGTGCCGTGCATCTATGTGAGTATAGGTGCACACATGCCTTGACACACAGGTGAAGGTCAGAGAACAACTTTGGTAGTGGGACTCTGTAGGTGGACCCCAGGCCTCTAGGCTTTCAGGAGAGGTGCTTTTCCCTGCTGACCCATCTTTTTGGGCTCTTGTCTGTTATTGTAGGCTCGCCCCTAAGTCTTAGCTGTCTCAGGATGGTTGACACATAGTTGTTAGCTCCTACCTTAGTGCCCTCGTTAGTTTATGTTGAAATCACTGTAGTTGGTGTACTTCCATTGATAGGTGTGTGGACTGCAGAGACCATTCCTGTGCGCACTTGCTTCGGGCCTCTGATTGGTCAGCAGAGCCACTCCATGGAAGTAGCCGAGTGGACAGACAAGGCAGTTAACCACGTCTGGAAGGTCAAGGAAAACATGGCAACCTTGTTTACAATCTGGTGTACTCTCTGTGACCGAGCCTACCCCTCAGACTGCCCTGATCACGGACCAGTGACTTTTGTTCCTGACACACCAATAGAGAGCAGAGCAAGGCTGTCCCTCCCAAAGCAACTTGTTCTCCGCCCATCCATTGTGGGGACAGAAGTTGGTGTGTGGACTGCAGAGACCATTCCTGTGCGCACTTGCTTCGGGCCTCTGATTGGTCAGCAGAGCCACTCCATGGAAGTAGCCGAGTGGACAGACAAGGCAGTTAACCACGTCTGGAAGATATACCACAATGGTGTCCTAGAATTCTGCATCATTACAACGGATGAAAATGAGTGTAATTGGATGATGTTTGTACGCAAAGCCAGGAACCGTGAAGAACAGAATTTGGTGGCTTATCCCCATGATGGAAAAATCTATTTCTGTACCTCACAAGACATCCCTCCTGAGAATGAACTGCTCTTCTATTATAGCCGAGACTATGCTCAACAGATTGGT